GGTGTTAGACGGCAATGGTTTAAGTAAATATTGCTATAACCCTGTACTAAAAAAAAAAGAAAACAAAAAAAAAAGAACCCTAGGACTAGGAGGGGGCAAAAAAAGAAAAGCGTATCTGCAACAATAGCATAAACAGGTGTGTATGAAATGAAATCTACAGAAGAGAATTTAAGTAGCAAAAAGAAAAAGGCCTCCTTGTATAACTTACCGTATCATACTTTTACTCGATGAAAACTAACTCCATACAGTAACGTTTATGTTCTCTATTTTACAAATCTACAAAAGTGTTACTGGCCATCAAGTGAAAACGTTGACAACCTTGAACACTGTGTTCTCGACCTACTTTAGAGAAAAATTTCAAGAATTATTTCCCTGCCAAACCCGACCAAACATTTTCACAAGCGTAGTGAAAAATGAAAATAAGAAAAAAGGGAACCAATCACATTTTTCTTTTTATTTGTGTATTTAGAGGAGGAGGAGAACTTGGTCATGGCGCAGAAGCGCATGACAAAACTGAATTATGAACCTGCGAAGAACTTCCGAACAGGAAGAAAAGCGGCAGCTAGTAAAATGACTGATAAAACTTAACTACGAATGGTTCCTATGAAGCATGTTTCATTCTAAAACACGAGCAGTTTAATTTTACAGAAAATGAACATTTAACCACACAAAGTAACACGTGGAAGATGTCAAAGCAAATGCCTGAGTGCTACATATGCACATTTCATTAACTTTTCCATTTAAATACAATAATTCAATTTTTTACATTATTTTGGAATTTCAGTCAAGTAACACTCCTGAACATTCATGAGCCTTCCAGCTGCAGAATAATGAAGGGTAAGGTCCGAGAATATGAGACTAACTTGTAGAAGCAAGTACTTCTAACAAGGAAGCAATAAATTGCATTTGAGTCTCCTCATCTATCGTCAAGAACAGAGGCACGTGGACAAACAGGGATTTTATCCCATTTTGCTCTGCAAAACGAAGGGAGTGATAGTACACGTAATTGCACACAAACCTGCCTGCATCATCTGATGTCATCACATCATAACCCTTCTTTTCCAATTCCTTTGTAATCTCGCCCGCGGGAAGGGAGGTCTACACAGATATATGAACATAATCAACCATATGACCACTGAAACAAGTAGGTTTTCTTAATTCATGTAGAAAGCAGAACCAGCTGAAACAACGTCCTCCTGTCATTTCCTTCATATTGGCTATGCATACAAGTAGCTTTACCAGTCAGGTGGTACTGCTCAATAAAGACAAGTAAAATCTATACTTATTGTGACAGTTTCAAACCTTCTGGATGCTTAGGACCCAAAAAACAATAGAAAAGGAAAGAAAAATGACCATGGATTGAAGTTACCGACTGAGGGCCATCGAAAAAATCAAATGAACAACTCAGACTATTTGCAATGCTAAGAAATCAACGATGTTCTATATGAATCAATTAACACTATGCTACAATAGGCCTAAGCATCAGGCTTGAAGCTTAAAAGTACAAAATGTACCTCTCGTGTTCGCATGATTCCGCCATCTGAAGGAACAATTGGGACTTTCTGCAACATATGACGATTCAGTGAATGTGTGGATATTAACTCTAAAGACTTGATGGGCTAAATTAAAAATGTTTGCACAATTACGTTCTAACCTGAGGCTTCCACCCCATTTCATCAGGGCAACGGAAAGTAGCCTCATTGACAGCTTGATGCTCTATGGCAAACCTTGTTGCTCCACTGTTGACCCCAAAATGCAGCTATGGATGTAATTAACAATCCAAAAGTAAGTTGAAGGAATAAAAAAAAAATTGTTGAAATTAGTACCGATTCAATCAACTAAGTGCACGGTTCCATTTTTAGCTCAGATTATATACCTAACAAGATATAAAATAAAGTACTAGACAATGAAGCTTTAAACAATAAGAAGCTAGACAATGAAGAAATCACTTCATAAGCCATCTTAAGCTTTTTTACGATTCCCTTCTTGGACCCTTATTCTAGGCCGTAATGTTGAGATCCTCAAGTTCTCACAACTACCCTCTCCAGTCCAGAATTAGAATAAGCGGGTTCTAAATTATATCATCCTTTATAGTTTTGTGCTGAGCTTTTTATTTTTAATAAGGGAAAAAAAAGGGTTTAAAAGTTCAATAGTAATCTTTGATTACAGTTGATTCATCAGCAATATAATCTTCTTTTAGATATCAAGACACACAATAATGAAGAAATCAGGCTCTCAAGATTCAGACTTTTGCAATCATATGGGCAACTCACCCATATAATTTTGTTGGAATTGGAAGATTCAGAATCCTTGGGCTTGGGGCTAATAGCAGATTGCAAAGTCTGGTACAAGGTAACAAGTGCTCCTTGACCAGCAGTCTCCAGAATGCTACAGCTCCCAATAACTAAACCTTTAGGCAATCCCTTCTTCTTCATATACTCCGTCAAGTTATTGACAATTGTCTCTGTCGGGTTCTCGGAAACTCCATGGAATTTCTTGAAGCCCGTAACATGAACAGTCACAGTTGCTGGTGGACATTCAGAGCCCATCCGTCTTTGATTAGGCCAAAAATATTTTATGCTTCAGATAAAGTAGAGTTTCCAGATGCCTGCGTACAATGATGAGTTGGTTTTAGTTAAGGAGGCATAAATTGAACTGTTCGTCTAAATTGGGAATCATATCCCAAAAAAAAAAAAATCCTCGATTCATCATCACCAAATAATCTAATAGGGAAATGCTCGATGCTAAAGAAGACTCTGTGCTTGTTATGTACATTTGACCTTATCACGTCACAACAATATCAATAACTGATGAAATGTAAATTTTTCTAAGGCCAACAAAAACCGATGAAATTGAATTAAAATTGTGAGTATAACTATCACTGTAGCATGCAAATCTTTTTTTCCCCCCTCTCCATAATAAGAATCCGCGGAAAACTAGAAGGCCTCTACGAAGAAATCAAATTGGAGCCCCTAGCGAGAATGTATTTTACGGGGGATAATGAAAGAGAAAGGAGAGGGACGGAAAGAAAAGACTGCCCACGTTTGATGTGTAATGGAAGATGAGACAAACTAATAAATTGAACACACACACACACACACGTATATAATTGGTCAATATATATATATATATATATAATTTGTTGGCAAAAATATATATCATTTCCGCAAAATGTCCCTAATATTTTTTTCCTTTTTTCTTTTTTAAAAATCCCCGTCTATCATCTATTATCGGCGTCAAAGCAGCAGAAAGACATGACATCAGACGAAAAAACCAGATCAACAAACTAAGCTGGAACATATCAACATATTAACCAGATATAATCAGATAGATCCATAAACCAGCATAAACTCAATTCGAGATATGATCAGGTCAATAAAAATACGGATCCGCATGAGATCAGAGAAGATAGAGGAGGGGCGGCCGGAAGCAAGATTCCCCCTTTCGTGTAAAATTTTCCGTGTACCAAACAGCTTAGAGAACGTTGAAAAGGGAAACACGGCAACTTTCTCGTTCTAAGCCCGGCTATCCCAACGTGTCAACTTCCAGAGGAAAAAAGGCGTCTTGACAGAATCTCGCAAATCTCAAAGAGATGAGTTTGATTTCAAGAATTATATCATAAATCAGAAAGGATCGGATTTAAAAAGCGTAGACACAAATGTATAGAGTCAGATAACACCGTTGATCACAGAATTCCCACCAAAACCTCTTCAAACCCAAACATGTTGCAAGACGCCAGTCAAGTTAAGCTATGATCAGAAACCCGAGTGATTAAAATCGGGTATGACGAGGACCTGGAAATTTTACTCCAGATAGAAATCACCAAAATTGAATTAAGCATGTGTCCTGAAAATTAAGAAACAAACTTGGGGCCTTTTCCCTTACCCGTAATCTTCCAACAGGTGAAAAAGAGGACAGACCCACCAGTCTTACTCCGCCCAGAGTAGATTAACTCGTTAAGATTCCGATCAGATTTAGAAGAAAAGAGAAACCACAAAGCAGACAGAGGGAAGACAGAGAATTCCAATACAACAGAAAACTTGGTAATGGATTGGAAGCTCCAGGTCAGGGTCACTTTCAAACAACGAAGGAAAACGTTCAAAATGAATTGGATTGTCCCATCAATTATTGTTTTATCTTGTTAATTTTTTCTCTCAAAAGATTGCCATTGTTGAAAATGAGCATTTAATAAGAACGGACTTCGGGTACCTGACAATTCCACTGGACAGTAATTAGACTTCTTTTTCCCCCTTCTTTCAGGGCCTTAATTAAGTGCTTTCTCCATGGCTCTTCACCGAACCTTCAAGAACAGAAGAGCATTAAAAGATTCCTTTTGTCGATCTGTTGTGCAGGAAAAGAGATAGGCATCATCTCTCACTGAATGACTGAAGCATAAGAATAATTTTAAATTAAAAATAATAAAATATTGTTTGATCAGACTTTAATAAAATTGGAAATTCTTATTTTAATGAGAAAATAAAATTAAACAAATTAAAAATTATAATATTTCAATTCAGATTCAAAATCCCAAAAAAGGAATGTGCTTGATTTGGTGTTTTGTAAATATAATCAAATAACCAAAATGTCATGGTATCATATTTTAAAAAAGCTATTAAAATTTTCATTACTAGTACACTTTTGTTTAATATTTATTATTATCAATTCACAATTTATTAATAAATTTTTGATACAAAAACATTTTATTATTTAACTATATTTACAAAATAATCAATCAAACATCACTTCCTCTTATGAGATTTTGAAGTCTTAAATGTCTAATTAAAATATTATAATTTTTAACTTCTTTTTATATTATTTTTTCTACTTTAATTTCTGAAATTCCATAGAAGTTTAATGGAAATAGCAAGACTTAAACTGTATTATTTTAATTAAAATTATGAAATAGTTACTGTACATTTTTAGTGGTAACATTTCAATAATGATATGAAATTTTTCTTATTGTAGAGGATTGTTTTCGTGACGTGAAATATTTAGTGAATGTACCAATGCTTTTCTTATAGCAAGTTTGGTTCAATTGGATGAAAAGATATTGCATGTAATAATGATGTAAATGCTTAATTCAAATATTTGGTTGAGTCCTCTCCGTGCGTCGCGCGTGTGAGCTGAGTTCTCTCCGTGTAAACACGTGAGAGCGTTAGTTAGTTTTCCCTTGAGTGTAACGGCCTTTTGGCGGGAAAGGAGGTTAGGAGGTTCGGGGGTGATCAGAGCTGACGGTTGTGGTCGGAGGACGGCGGGCTCTCCGGTGGTGATGGCGTCGACCGAGAATGGAGTTGATGAAAATACTTTTGAAGAGCCTCTTGTTTGGAATAATGATGGAGGCAAATTTGTGTTGATTGGAAAAATTCTTTCGGAAAAAGAAATTAGTAAGATTACAGTGGAATCAGTGATTCGCAAAGCGTGGAACCTGCAAGATGGACTAGAAGTTGTGGATGTCGCTAGAAATGCTTTTCTCTTCAAATTTGCTGATGAAATAGAGTATAATCGGATTCTTCGAGGACGGCCATGGTCCTTCAATGGTCAGATGTTGAATCTAATAGAGTGGAGGAAGTTTATGACGATTGAAGAATGTGATTTCAGTAGGAGTCCGATCTGGATCCAACTACATGGCATACCTCTTGAAGCTGTGAATTTAGAGAATGCGATCCGCATTAGTAGTCGTGTGGGAGAAGTCGTAATGGCAGAGGATCCAAAGCACAATAATCGTATGCTGAGGAATTTCCTTCGTGTGCGCGTGATTTTGGATCTCAGGAAGCCTCTTATTACAGGATATTGGGTCCCAAAACCGAATGGTGAGAAGAATTGGATGTCAATTAAGTATGAGAAATTACAAGATTTCTGCTATCGCTGTGGCTGTATAGGTCATGATTTTCGTAGATGCACAAAGCCAAGGCTGATGTCAGTTGAAAAGAATGACGAACCTAGATATGGTGTTTGGACAACCACGACACAGGTGCGTACCTGGGAAGAAGCTTTGAGAATAATAAAGCAAGACTGGCCAGAGATGAATGTGAAGTGGCAGAGACAAAGAAATGATGATAGACTAAAAAAGAGAAGTCTGAAATAAGGTACTGATATTTTCTCTATAGATTTACCTGGTTTAAAGAGTGGTAAAAAGAAAGTTGCAAGCCTGATAAGTGATTCTGATGCAAGTATGGGAAATGACAAGCAGAAAGTGGAATCCCCAAGAACTGAGGTGTGTGAGGAAAATCCTGAATTTATTCCTCAAAATGATTGGGGGGAAGGCTGTAGTGGGTACAAGGATGATACAGGCATCTCTTGTGAATTACTTGACAACTCATATGCAGCTGGGACTACTGTAAGCTGTGATTATAGTGTAGAAGAACCGCTGGAGGATCTTAATGATGCAAAAGCCTTGGTTATTTACATTGGTAAAGAAGTAAACAAGATGGCTGAGGGTCTTGCAAACTTGAACCTGAAAAGAGGGGCAGATGAAACATTAGAAGCCTCAATTAACAAGAAGAGAAGAGTCGATACTGAGACAGATTCAGTTAAAAATGAAGTTTCTAGTTTTGCTGGAAATTTGAGAAAGATGAAAGCAAGAATAAGAAGGCAATCTCTGAGGAGAAATAAGGAAGAGAAGACTAATGATCTAAGGAAGAATTACAAGAAAGTCAACAAGGATGAAGGCATGGGTGGCTGGCCTCTAACAGCCCCCATGGAGCAATGAAGATACTGTCATGGAACTGTCAAGGTTTGGGGGTTGCCTTGACAGTCAAAAACTTAAAAGACTGCAATAGAAGATTCAGACCCTCAATCATTTTTCTGATGGAAACTAAAAAGAAGGATGGGAAGTTAAAACGTATAAAGAGAGCTTGTGGTATGGACAAAGAATTATATGTTGATCCAAGAGGCAGATCTGGTGGTCTGGCCCTTTGGTGGTGTGATGGAATTGAATTGGTGATTCTGTATCAGTCCAGAAATTTGATCCATGTAAGGGCTTCTTCCTCTACTATTAATATACCAAACTTTATTACTTTCACCTATGGTGCTCCTCATGAAAGGGATAAAGAAATAGTTTGGAGAAGATTACGATCTCTGGCCAGGGGAATTGATGGTTCATGGTTATGTGTTGGTGATTTTAATGAGGTAGGATCACAATCTGAAAAAGAAGGTGGTAGACCTGTTGCTTTGAGAAGACTCCTCAATTTCCAAAGTGTTCTTGATGATTGTGGCCTGATTGATCTGGAATTTAATGGAGCAAGATTTACGTGGAACAACAGAAGGTTTGGTGAAGCAAATATCAAGGAGCGTATTGATAGAGCATATGGGAATGTATCATTTAGAGAAGGCTTTAATAACGCTCAGGTTTTTCACTCTGAACCTATAGGTTCTGACCACCACGTGATACTGGTGGACTGCTGCTATAGTGATGAGAGAACCCCCAAACTGTTTAAATTTGATGCTGTATGGCCTTCTGATGAACATTATAATGAAATTGTGAAAGATAGCTGGTTGACCGAGGGGCAGACTCTAGTTAATAAAGTTGATGATTTTGTTGCTAGGCTGAACTCTTGTAGAAAAGCTTTAGTTAATTGGAGCAAAAGAGCTTTTCCTAATAACAAAAAAATCCTGGATGATCTGAGAAATAAACTGAATGCCTGTTATGAGGGACGATGGACAGAGACTAAAGCTCAAGAAGCTGCTAAAATCCTGAGACTTTTGGAAGAAACTTGGGATCGAGAGGAAGTGTATTGGTGGCAGAAATCTAGACTGAACTGGATCTCTTATGGTGACAGAAATACCAGGTTTTTCCATAACACAACCATTCAACGAAGGGTAAGGAATAAGGTGCTGTGCTTAAAAAATGAAGTGGGCTCTTGGGTTGAGGATTCTGGTAGTATAAATGCAATGTTTGAGAAGTTTTACAATGAACTATTTGCTTCCAAAGCTTCTGAACAAGTAGAGGAGGTACTTAGTTATGTGAGAAATGTAGTCTCTGAAAGTGAAAATGAGTGGCTGACCAGATCCGTTACTAATTCAGAAATTGAGGCTGCTGTGTTTGATTTAGGAGCTACAAAAGCCCCTGGACCTGATGGTTTCACTGCACTGTTCTATCAGTCAGCATGGAATGAGACTAAAGAGGAAGTCTGTGGTATGGTCAAGGCCTTCTTTGAAGGGAATTCAGATCTCAGAAAATTAAGCCTAACTCAAATAGTCTTGGTGCCAAAAGTAGATAAGCCTGAATCTGTGAGCCAATTTCGTCCAATTGGACTCTGCAATGTTTCTTATAAGATCATTGCAAAAATAATGACTGCAAGAATGAGAGGAGTAATGAGCAAGTATATATCAGAACAGCAAAGAGCCTTTGTGGCTGGAAGATTAATCCAAGATAATGTGATAATTGCGCATGAGGCCTTTCAGTATTTGAAAAGAAGAAAGACAGGCTCTAGACATGATTTAGCACTCAAGATTGATTTGAGCAAGGCTTATGATCGTGTTGATTGGCTTTTCTTGATGGAGACATGTTGAAATGGGTTTCTGTATTAAATGGGTCAGATGGATTATGGAATGTGTGACCTCTGTGAACTTTGATTTAATGGTCTCTGGAAAGAAAGTTGCAAGAATCATACCAAAAAGAGGAATAAGACAAGGTGACCCTCTCTCTCCCTATCTCTTTATTATTGTTGCTGATGTCTTGTCTGCTATGATACAATACCATATAAGCAATGGTGATCTAAAGGGCATAAGACTATCTAGAGGTGGTCCTATTCTATCTCATTGCTTTTTTGCGGATGATGCCCTCTTTTTTGTAAGAGCATGTAGGGAGAATTGTATGATTCTTAAAAAGATTCTAAACATGTTCAGTGCAGCCTCTGGTCAGAAATGAATTTAGATAAATCTTGTATCTTCTTTTCGGCCAATACTACTGTAGAACTTAAAGAAGAGATTGAGAATGAGTTAGGGGTGAAAGCAACAGCTGAGCCTGGCAAGTATTTAGGTCTACCTCTGATATGGGGGAGATCAAAGTCCTCTGCATTGGCTTTTGTGAAGAGCAAGATTTGTAAGAGATTGCAAGGATGGAAACAAAAGCTATTGACATTTGCTGGCAGAGAAGTCTTAATAAAGGCT